ACACTGGCCATGGCGGTCCTGGCCAGGATTCACGCGCTTGGGCCATCGCGTCCGCCTGGCCCGCCAGCGCGACCAGCGAAGTCACGCCGGACCAAAACCTAAACGGTTTGCACCATGCGCTCTCAAGATCTCATCCGTTCGCATGTGACCGCGTCCAGATGAGTTTCTCATCCTCCTTCGCCTTTTTGAAACCTACCACCACCACACGCTCTTTACTCGTGGTGCAGAACGAAGAGCCGGCCGATGAACTAGCAAGTGCAGGGTGCATCTTGTGTCTCTTGTACTGCGTGAAGTGCTCATCTCCTATACTCTAGCATTATACACGGTCGAAACTCCAGTCTCTCGGTTTGTCCGTGGACAATGTCTGGTGGCGCGCGTGGATAGGTTGGACGAGAGAGCGGAGGAGGAAGGAGTTATCCTCTTCGTAGAGGTTCTTGCTACAGGCATAACTTCTGTCATATCATATGCTCTTTCGCTCACGGCCTTTGTGTCTGAACACCCTGGGCGTGACATCCTAGGCCACCTTCTGATGCGAGATCAATGCAAATTCCCCGTCACCTCCAACGATGAAGTCATTGGTACCACCAAGATTCTATTCTTGTGAATGCGAAACACGATTCGTAATGCGCCGCCCCAGAGCGTCTCTTTCGCGCAGATTCTTACGACTATGCTTTCGAGGTGCTTCTGGTTGATGTCATGCCCACGTTCACGCTGCTTACGCCACGCTACTCCGAGAAGATATGCTTTCACTATTTACATTGAAGGGAAGATGAAGGTGCCAACATTATTGCCTAGATCCCGCTGAGTTCATGCTAAAGAGCGATGCTTATCCTATTCCCCTTCAAAGTGGGCAACATACGCAACCGAGCTCGAGCGCATCGCCTGCCACTGGTTCGATTCCGTCTTCTCGAGAGCGGGAGAACACCGAAATTTGTCACAAGCCTAGCTGCAGATTGGTGACCGGATGAGGACGTAAGAAAGGACTACGGTGACTGGTGGTTTTCCGCGCTCGTTGGCGGTCTCTTCGGGTACCGATCCATCGACTGCGTGATGTCTAGGTCGCTCTCACCGGTCTTCAGAGTCTTCCAGTGGGTACATATGCGCACCGCCGCCACCCTCAAGAACTCGATGTTTGGCGGAGCTCGGTAAACCGCTACTGTGCATTACTGTGCGATGAGCCCATTGTAAGACGGCCGGTCCAGTGGACGCCGTAACTCTTGTTACCTGTGTGTATGTACCGGTTCATGAGCTTCAAGAGAGCCCTCCCTCGCGATCCTGTCAGACTCTAACGATGTCGGCTACTGAGGCAACGCACTGATGGGAATCAAAGCCCGCTTTTGGGCGTTATTGCTTTGCTGAAGGCTAAGGTAATGGCTCGGATGGATGAAAGAGAATGAGTGCCAGGCGTACGTTCATGCGAGTCTCAATAAAACGGCGAAGGGTGCATATCACAAACTGTTTTTACAGGGAAATAGGCAACGTGTTTGTAAGACCGCCTTTGTATCAACGCGGAAGATTGCAAGATAGTGAATGGAACTATCAAGAGGTGTGGGCCGAAATGTGGAGATAGAGAATAGTCGCCAAACAACCCAGGTGTCATGTACGGGTTCGGAAAATCTCTACAGATAATTGAATAGGTCTTTAAACTTCCAGCCGGTTAGGATAGAGGCTGCCGCCACAAAGGCGAGAAGTGCTATGATAGCAACCAGACCGTCGCCAAACGCCCTGAAGACGTAAAAGGTGATCACGGCGCCGGCGCCGATCCCGATGCATATGAAGGCACGTTTGAGGTCTTTCAGGTAACGTACAGCAGCGTCAAGCTTCGGGGCAGCAGCGTCAAGCTCAGCGCGCATTGCTTGAACTGCCTCGGCTTCTGCGTACGCGCGCTGAATCGACTCCAATCTCTCTGAGAGATCCTTGAACGCCTCTGCATCGGCCATCGCCGCAGAGAGCTCGTCGAGTTCGTGCTTCATGCTCTGTAAGGAAGCAACGTCCGCGCCCATGGAGGTGACCAAGTCGATTGTGTCGTCAACAACACCTTGAATGTCTTGAAGCTGCGTAGCTCTGCGTCAATGTCTAAAGCCTTCGCTACATGGTAGCCCCGTACCTGCGCAAGACTCTCGCTGGATGCATGCACGGAAACGGAACCGCCGGTCCGACTGTCTTCGGAGTCTCGCTCTTGGTCTTCAAGCACGGTGGAACCCGTATCTTCTATATTCATCTGTCTGAGGGCATCGACTGGCAGATCAGACTGTCAGCCTGGTTGCCGGTATGGAAGGCGGGCCTGACTTACTAAGGCCTGCATGGAACGTGTCGCTAACGGCGATGGTGTAGTACTTCATCTCAAGGACGGATGTCGCTCTCAGATGGGAAGCGAGACTCGAGCAAGGGAGGGAGGGAGATGTAGGCTGACTACGGTCGCTCAAGGACACTCCCCTTTTGTACACCCCCATAGCAAAGAGCCTCATTGGTATCCCTACTCACGGAGATTGCCGAACACAGCGGTAAAGACCCGTCTAGCGTCCACGCGTAGATAGCGAAGGAACAGAGCGTTTGTGTCGGGGACTTCCGCTCTACGTGTCCGCATATATGGCGGTGCTCAACTTACGCATTCCATGCAGCATGGCTTCTTCTCCACACCCTCGTTCAATCTCACGGAAAACTCCGAAACCGCACTCTCGATTCTACGGACCACTGTTGATTAGGCAGAGACATTGTCCGTCCCCGCCGGGTAGTCCAAGCACTTCCTTCGCGTTGCTCCGCACAGACTTCGAGGAAGAGAATCCAGCCATGCCTTCACATGATAACAATTCTGACAATTATGTGGCGATTACTGTTACGGATGCTGTGTCCCCACCTAGCACTGCTCAAACTAACGATCAAGGTATGCATTCTGGGATCTGTAACCTTGATCTGCCCATTCATTGAGCGCATCAGCGCCTGATCGCGTGCCAAAGAACACTGGCACGCCGCCGAAGAACACTGACGCGTCGCCGAAGAACACTGACGCGCCGCCGAAGAACACTGACCCATCTTGCGCCGCGCTACTCACAAAGCCGTTCCCTCGTCCACAAGGCCAGCTGTCCAAACCCGGCGCTGGAGGATACTCTCTCCACCTTCTTAAGACCACGTATGGCTGGACCGAGGTTGAATATACTCGGATGCAGGTTAGCTCTTTGCGTTTTAAGCCTCTGCCAAGTCGTTCAGATGTCATCAGCGCCGAGTACAGCGCATGTGCAGAACCCTCTTTGACACGAAAGCGTCCTTCGCCCGGCAAGAGAATGACGATATTAACCGCTTTGTGAACGAAGTTGAGTGAATGTCTTCGCCTTGGTGTGCGCGATCTGACGGGGCATTCGAGGTGGTCATCGCGTTTCCGACGCTGAAAGACTACGAAGATGCTTGGCCGGCAAAAGACTTTGCTACGATGTATCTTAAGAATTCGTCAGCCGAAGCCCGGGCGGCGGCCAAGGTGAGACTAGTTTGCTTGGATCTGGCCCTATGCATCTGCTGAACAAGAACATTTCAGCGCACCGGAGCAATGCAGTCAGAACGTGACTCTACATAGGAGAGTTTTTCGGCGACAAGGAATGAGACCATTGTGTACTTACGTCGCGTCAGTAGTTGAGAAGCATAGAACTCGTCTAGCTTGCGGTGGTCTGAGGGCACCCGGCAGCAGATGCGTCGTTTGACGCCGGAGCAGGCTAGCGGGCGAGTGATGTTGCGTTCGTCAGCGGCGACGACGAATCCCTCATTTGGGCAGCCTGGCATGCGGGC